CTAACACAAGGAGATTAGAATTTTAGTCACATACCTAATAAAACCTACTTTAAGGACCCAATATTTTAAATATATTAACGTCCATATGCATTTTTATCCGTCATATCGACCTTATTCCTGTCAAATTAAGAGTCGGACGATGACTTTTGTAAGCCAAAAACGTTTACATTCGACAGATGGCTAGCCTAGTCAGAAACCATATAGTAAAAAAATGTTCGATAATGGGGGAGTCGAACTTCTTAACCACCAGGCCATGCCACACCCGCCGATAGGGTTAGTTCCACTTATTACAAGAAGACCACTGGCTCCTTAGAACACTCGCATTACTACAAATAGACGGCTGCTAATATCAACTATGGAACTTATCATGTGGAGACTACTGTTTATATAGACACAAGTGTCTAGAAATAGACGACTGATAATATCAACTACAGAACTTATCATAAGGAGACTACTGTTAATGTAGATACAAATTTCTACAAACAGCCAGTTGCCGGTATAGTTAATGCAACTTACTACGAGAAGACCATTGTCTATTTAGATTATTCAAGTCACTACAATAGACAGCTTTATGTATATCTGTATGTGGACATAAAACACAATGTACACAATACTTCAACATTTAATATGCACAAGTATCAGTTGTATATATGATATTAAATACATTTTGGATACTAGAATACTGCTTTACATCAGTAAACGTAAAAGTGTAATATACATACTTTTTATTCGTGCTCTTAATAACAGAACTCAGTACTATAGGATTTTTTATTCATTATAAAACTCTGTGAGTATCAAACTAAAGAAACAAAACTACTTAATGACGCATGTAAGGCTTTATCATATCAAAAGTTTAAATGAGTTTAATGTTGGATATGCAAGATTAACGTTAAAGGTAAAGATCAGACAAAAGGACAATTATCATTTAGTAATATCCCTAAGGGAATTTTTATCAAAAACATACTTAGAAACAATGTTCCCCAGTTAAAAACGTGTGTTTCTCTGTGAGAATATAGATTGAATGCAACATATTGAAGAATGAAAATTGTTTTTATTTTCTCGTTTTTCAGTTCGGGTAATTTAACGTAGGAAATCTAAGTGAATGCTTTTAAGAGGGTTCTTTTCGACAGTGGTTTCCTGGGAATTAAATAACTAACCATCTACGAAATTAATTCTTATCCGCTTCGACTTTCTATCAACCATTTTAATGCCAAATTGCAATAATAAGACTAGGAAGGAAAATGTGTACCTAATGAAGTTCTGTTCTAGCAGCCCTAGAAGTCATCCAAAAACTTCTGAGGCAGATACAACACACAGAAGTTTCCAATCAAATATAAGTACATTATTCTTTCAAACACTTTTAATTGTATGGCTTGTAATACCATAAAGTGAAGGATACTTTATCAAATAAGGTACTTGGGTATGCATCAAAATATATTTTCAAAGACATTGTTATAACGAAACATTGTTCGTTTAAATCAATACCATATGGCCTTATCCTATTAGGTTTAGTCAGTTATATCCAAAACTGTCACATAAGAACGGTTTATCAAGTTTGTTATTGTGCATTCTACAAACGACGGAATTATATTTATAAGTTTTAGAACTGCATTTGGAAACTGAAGTTGAAATGTCTTTATAAAAGTTCTGGGAAGAGCAGAGTTCTCTAAATTAATCGACATCAGTTAAAAGAAGATGAAGTTGTTATTATAGGATGGCAATAAAACGAGGAAGTTTGAAAATAGATAGAACGCAAAAGGTCAAGTAATTTAAAGGATGGATTAGGAGAAACTATAATAAGAGATATCGTTCCAAGGTTTTTTTTTTATATTTCATAAGATTACATTAATATGTTTTTTTTTTTCGTTTTACGAACTTTTTCGGAGCATATGATGCACATAATAAATCATATCTGATAAATCATTCACCAATCTTAAATATATACTACCCTAAACAATGAAAT